GACTCGGTACTCGGACAGCACTTCGTTACTCTTAACACAATTTTCCTCGGACAAAACCTAGTATCATTACCACTAGAGTTTAGTCTAATATTCACCGAGACAAATTAATAGTCTAGCTATTATTACCATTATATAAGCATTAAACGATACTTATATAACCCATAATAATAGCCCGAGTACTTATTATAAGGTCCTAATAACATTACTATACTAAAACATAAGCTATAATAAAGATAGGTTAGGCGTAGCTCACTTACAGCGAGTTTTTCTCAAAACCGGGCTTCGCCGGAGCAGCGTTTCCGAGCCGAAAGGCTCTTTTCTCGGGGCTTCGGCAGCCTCGGGGCTTCCTTCGGGTGCTAGGGGGTTTACCTAGGCTTTAGGGGGGGTTTGGGGGCTAGAGAGAGAGTCTAGAGAGAGAAAGAATGGTTTGGAAAGGTGTGAAGAATGAGGGAACCCGACACCTCTATTTATAGGCTGGAAAACAGCTCTAATCGTCGAGTAGGTCCTCCTACTCATCGAGTCCATGCCACATGTCACCTTCTGGTGGCTTGCCTTGGGGAGAAAGCCTTGGCCCATAATCAGCCACGTCACCCTTTTGCAGCAGCACCCTGCCGACTTCTAAACCTCGTAACTTTCGCATACGAGCTCCATTTTTTATGTTCTTTTTTTCCACGCGTAGTTAAAAACAAGATCTACAACTTCCATTTAGACTCCGTTGGCTAATTCTCGACCGATCTTAAATTTAACAGTAGGAGGAGATTAGACTGTTAAATGACCGTGAAGAATTCGTAACTCCTTCATACGGACTCCGTTTTCGTCTGTCTTTTTATCGTTGAGTTCCTATTAATGAGATCTTCAACTCTCATTTAGGTTGCGTAGGCCAAAAACCGCTCGAACTAAAATTCGAGTTTCGGGTCGTGCACTGTTATGCCAAATCTTAGAAAATTCATAACTTCCTCATACGAAGTCAGATTTGGGCGTTCTTTTTTTGTATGTTCTCGGTTTAATGTATACTACATCTTTTGTTTAGATTACTAAGGCTAAAAACTCCTCTATCATACATTCACTATTTACGTCTCCCGGTGTCGTGTCGGTTTTGCCGAAAAACTTCGACGGGCCATAACTTCTTCGTTATAACTCGGATTTTGGCATTCTTTATATGTACGGAACCCTTGATACATATTATACAACTCGGTTAAGATTATTTATTCTAAATAATCTTTTGTCGAAAAGTCGTTTTCGACACCTATTATCTCTAAATTGACTAGCCCGGATCTATGGGCGTTACATTCATTTTATTACTTCTTTTCCTAGTTTATTTTTAGTTCATTCGATCTCATTTTAGTAGCTAATTTTCATTCATAATTTCCTTTTTGTTATTTTATGACTATTTCGGGTACTCTCTAGTCTTTTGAACTTAATTGCAGAATTTATCGAAGACTATTCAACATGGAGGAATGGAGGGAATACAATACCTGTAGAAACTTGCATTTTGCTTGTGGACTTGAAGTGGTGTGATTGGGCTTGTTGTCAACATAATCAAAAGAGCAAGCTAGGCTTAATTTTAGATGAAGAATGATGATGATGTGAAGAGAAATTTGAGCTATAGAAGATCAAGGAAGCAATGGCCCATCTTGGGAGAGTCAAGAAGACACAATTAGGCTATCAATAACCTTTACATGTGGGTTGGACCAAGAAATAAAGGAGCAAAACTAGAAGGCCAATCAAATGGGCCAAATGGCCCAGAATCCACACGGTCCGCATGGATTTACAATTGGTCCGCGTGGATCGCACTGTGAAGAATCCGGATTTTTGACTTTTTGACTCTATTTTGGGAAGGTTGGTGGAATGCTTTTGGGGGACTTTTGGATCCGATTTTTGACCACTTTTACTGTATTTTTGAAGCAAGAAGGAAAGGAAACACATGGAAGAACAACACATTTTACTCTCTAAGAAGATTTGAAGATTTGTGGATTTCTTTCATCTTTCATCTTGAACAATGTTTGGTATCTCTAATCTCTCTTGTTTTCTTTAATCTTAGCCATGCTAGGCTAGATTTACCATTTGGTTGACTTGGATGTAATTGCTTGAATGTTTTGGTTATTTTGAAGAACTCCATGAACTTGTGTTGAATATCTATGATTATATTTTTTATGAAAACTTCCTTCATGTTTATATATCTCTAGTCATGAATATTGATATGTGAATGTTATTTTTGTTGGTTAAATTCTTGGCTAAGTAATGGGTCTTCAATTTAACAAGCAACAATTAGTTTAAATGTTTGTTTTCATTTCATTTAGACTAGGAAAATATTTTCTCCATAGTAGTAATAAAAGCAATAGATTACTCTTTGGACTTGGTGATTCTTAAAACCTAATGCTAATTGATTTTCACAAAATTACATGCTTCATTAGTTTTGTTACTTTGATTTAGGAAATGTGCTATGAGCTTCTCTAGTCATTTTAATACAAAAGAAGAGTTGAGGTAAGTCATGCTTATAAATTGTCATAGCCAAGTTAGATTATAAACACAAGTATTGCACCTTGGTATTCTCATGATTAATTAACCAAATGTTCAAGTAATGAAAAGTCCAAAGTCAACCATCTTTATCTTATTGATTTGACTTCAAACTTTGCTTTTGTTGAATTGTATTTTTAAATCTTAGTGTAATTCTAGTTTTCTTTTAAACATATCAAAAGATCAAAATCCCCTAATTTTATTTTATTTTAGTTTTACAAGTATTTGTACAACAAGATTATCATAGAGTTATAAAATTGAACAAATCTCCGTGGATACGATCCCTTTACCACTATACACTATTTTAGTGTAAAAGATTTAGGGTTATTAATTTTGTTGGCCTCGACAACCACCATGGTGGTGGGTTTTTCTTCGGTTCTCCGGCCAAGAAACGCTCGTACAGCTCCATACAATTAAAAACATGCGCACACAAACACCATATTACACACACAACCACCTCTCACGGTGGCTAGTGACGGCAGAAGAAGGTAGCATGGCGGAAGCCACCATAGTTGGCTGCCATGGTGGTTATTCACGTTTTCGGCCACCTAAACACACCCACACCCGCGACATAGATTGAAACAAGCACCCACACATCGGAAAACACACATACCAAATGGAACAGTAACCTCACTGTCGGAGGAGGACGGTGGTCCGAAGGAACGATGAGAAGGCAGAGGCGGCACAACTATCGACACTAGCGGTGGTGATACAGTAGAAGAAAGAAATGGAGAAGAAGAAGAATTAAACTGGAACAGCAACTACGACAGTCACGACGTCAACGATGGCTTCGTCTTCAATGGAAGTGGTGTAGCAGCGATCTCCGATGGCTCACGGCAGCAACATGGTTGACGGCGGCGTCCGGAGATGAGAGGGGGTATAAGGGTGGCGGCTGGAAGTTAGAGAGATAAGGTGGCGGCGATCTTAAAGCTAGGGTTAGGGTTTAGGGGAGTCGCATGGAAGAAACAAGGGAGGAGGGGAAGGCAAGGGTTTAAGGCCCGTAACGTTTCAAATAACATTCCATATTGACGCTTTTAGGTCCTCACTCCTAGATTTATTTCTGCTTAGGTCCATAGTTACAAAATAGCCCCCTGATCTCCAAAAATCTTTACATTACAAGTCCAAATGTTACGAGGTAATCCCCAATTTCCATAAATTATAACATTTTACTCCTTGAGGCTAGAACTGATAAATTAGTACGAATTTAGGGCTAAAATAAATAAAAATATAAATTATATATTGGGGTTTTAGGGCTATTATTTATTTATTCAATTGATTTTATTTATTTGATTTTATTTATTTGATTTTATGTATTTATTAAATTTTAAAACGGAATGTTATAGTGAATGAAAGATGTATTGTCCCCAGGGGTCATACGTTTTGCCCTGTGAAACCGTTAGTTGGCCTGTTGCCGGCTTGAGACCCTCCTTCCATCTATCGGGGAGTAAGCAAAAACAATGCTCGTAAATGATATCCGTCGAACTGCCTGTATCAACATACATGCGGTGAATCATGGTATTTTGCATCGAGCCTTGGATGACAAGCGGGTCGTCCCCTCGCTAGCCAGAGGGAAGAGGGCCAGAGATCAAGAAAGTCAGACCCTGCATGGCCCTCGTAGTGTTGTCTATGCCACTTTCATTTTTTGGCCTTCCTGTTTTTCCATGTATAGCTAGGATTTCTTAGGGTCGTTCGTTTATCTTAGCATTGTCTTTGAGGTTATCGGAATCAAATTTGTTACGTAGGATCTTTGCAATTTCTATCAAGTCTCCTTTGAGTTGCTTTTATTCTATCTCTCACTTCAAGACCGAGTAGTTGGTGGTATCGTAAGTCCTGCTTTTGTGGTATTTACAGTAGCATGGTTTCGTGCCTTTCCTACTTGGCTTGTCTGTGACAACATATATTTCCAGTCTTTAGCCTCTTCGATCTTCCTAGAACGAATTGAAGCATCCATGTGGGCGTTGCCCACGTCCCTGGTATTTGTGTCCTCCATGGTTATCTTGACGAGGGCTAGGTTGGCTGCTCTACTTTGCAGTGGGGGATGCCATGGCATTCAAGTATGCTTGCTTGCACGCTTCTCCTTCCTCTTGTTGCAAGTATCACTCTACTTTCTCTTTGCGTTCAACACTCGTTTGAGGCGTCTTCCCCATCAGTTTTTGGGAAAGAGGTCCCGGGAGGAGTCCCCATGTGAATGCTCCTGCGATCATCCCCTCGTCATGTTTTGGTACGTCTAAGGGGGCATTGGTGAATCTGGCGAAGTATTCTCTGATCGTCTCCTCTTCATTTTCTTTGCATCCAATAATGGAGTGTGAGTATCCCTTGTATTTCCGCAACTACATGAAGTTGGTTAGGAAAAGGTACTTCAGCTGGCCGAATGTTTGAGCAAGAGCGTTGGGTCCACGAACAGCTTGGATTGTTGGCGGTATGGATGTCTGAGCAAAAGTGCTAGGTCCGCCAACAGCTTGGATTGTTGGCGGTATGGATGTCTAAGAAAAAGCAGCTTGGATTGTTGGCGGTATGGATGTTTGAGTGAAAACGGACGCCAGTTGTTGGTTGCTCGTTGAAAACTCAGGTGGTGGCAACATGAAGGATGAAGGTGTTGGCCTCCATACTTCGCTGATCGGTGTGTTGAGTGGTGTTCGGTCACCAAGCAACAACGGGTTATCCGTGATTATCAGAGGTTGGTTTGGCATTGATACGGGGGCGGTGACTAGTTCTAGGGATGTCATCGGCCGTACCGGGCTCTTCGGCTTTTCACTGGTTTCGCCGGTCATCTTCAAGATTTATTGATGTATGGTTTTGTATGTCATTTGTCACACACCGGATGGCGCCAAATGATGTGACCTCAGTCTAAGACTCCTAACGGTAGATGCTTTCTGCTCCGATGTATTCTGCGTGATCACACCAGGAAACAAGGCCATCAACCGTTCTCCGAGAGGTGATCCTGCGAGACGCTCCTATGATCAAGTCAATGTATTATCTGAGAGTGAGTCTAAGAGTCTAGGAGAGATAGCTTACTTTCCCGGGGCAGTGGAGGAGACCTTTTATATTGAGGTCTCCTACTAGTCTGTACATGGGACAAAGGCATCAGACCCGACAAGATTAGGCGCGCTGATTGGCTAATTTTGCTCCTCTTTCTGTCGGAGCTAACGATTGGTTCAGGTGGTAATGCTCTGAGCTTACTCTATGTTGCCTAAAGTCATCAGATCTTTCGTGGAGCAAATAGTATTAGGAACTCAACTCCTGCACATACATTTTGCTGGATAGATGCCCGCGGGCACGAGACTTTGCTGGGGCGGTCGATTGGGAAGGCCCCAACCGTGCGGCCCACCTGGTGGTGTCTCTGTCGTGATTCGTGGCTCGCGCCAGGGGGGACACTGTCAATATGCAAGGTACATATACTCACAATAAACAAATCATTAATAGTTCAGTTGAAAAACTTGCTTTCTAATGTCCCTTGATCATAAAAATGGTGTCTTGATGGATTAAGCTCAACCATGCAAGGGTTGAAGGTTGTTTCATGAAATTAGTATGACAAAATCCAAGATTTGACCTTTTTAATCCATGCAAGAGCATAATGTTTTCAACTTTATGGCTTAATACACTCTAAGGAGCTTAGATATGAAGTTGGACATTAGGTCTTAGTGAATTAAAACCTTAAAAGCAAGACTTGGCCAACTGGGGCGTACGTCGTGCATACATGGCTGCACGTTGCGCATACGAACTTGGGGTCCCGATGATGCAAATATCTTGAGTACGTCGGGCGTACTAATGGTACGTTTAACGTACTCACCAAAGGAGATTTTGGGCTTTTAATCTTTGGCCATATTGGACTTAGGAATTTAGGCCCTTGTGGGGCCGCAAGCCTTTCTGTGTTGGTCCTTCTTGATCTTGGACCCATAATGGGCATGGAACATCTTTTGGGCTTTGGGTTAGTTTGGTTTTGGGCCTTGGTGTGTTAGGCCCAATAAGGCAAGGGTAAAGCAGCCTTTTACCCTTGAAGTCGAGATTTAGGGTTTGGTCTCTCGGGTTGGCTTATTGTCCTAATTTCTCATTAGGGTTTTATTATTTGTGATTTAGTGAGAGGATTCCATGTTTTAGAAGCTCGAGTGTGATTTGATATCTTCAGTCTGAGGTGAGTTTCCTTCACTATATTCGTGGGCCAAAGGCACTAATGCTGGCCCACTAGATTATGTTTGTAGGATGATGATTATCTTTGTGACAATTACCTGTTATGCATGTATATGTTTGATGTCTTTGTGACTCTTACTGTTATGATTATATGCTAGTTGTAGGGGGTGAAATAGACCCGATACCTGTTGAAAGAGACCGAAGGGGTTAAAATATACCCAGTACGTGTTGAAAGAGACTGATGGGGTTGGAATATACCCAGTACCGGTTGAAAGAGACCGAAGGGGTTGAAATATACCCAGTACCAATTGAAAGAGACCGAAGAGGTTGAAATAGACCCAGTTATACTTTGACTGTTATATATGTGTGTGGTATGGGGTATTTTGGGAGAGCTCATTAAGCTTTGTGCTTACGGTTTTTAGTTATGTTTCAGGTACTTCCAGCTCGAAAGGGAAGTGCCCGGCTTGATCGCACTACATCTGCCCATGTTTTTCGCATTTACTTGATTTTGGCATTTGTACTCTGATAATATTGTCATTATGATATGTGACATCCTTATTTTCACAGCCAGAAAAGACCGATTTTTTTATGCTTTATTTTTAAAATCAGAGTACCTTTTAAATGAATATGTTGCGGAATTTGTTCCCAGTAAAACATGATAAATTCGTTATTAAAGCATTTCAGAAGAAATGTATTTTTATTCATTTTAAAACATTTGGGATGTCATTGTCAATACAGAAACATAAGCATAAACAGAACTTACATTCATTATCACTAGTGATTTACATCTCCTTAATCTCTCAGTGTACATAGGGTTTTCAACCCACAATAATATAATTATTATGTTTAAACATCAAACAATCAACCCAATTACCCCATCCCCATTATCTTCTTTACTCTTAAGGATCTACCCTAAGAATTAGCTATTCCTCGTTCATTCATTCCTAAGGATCATCCTAAGGAATCGGCACGAAATCCATCGTTGTCAGGGTTTACTCAACAGGCACTAAGTCGCATAGTCGCCAGGGTTTAGGCACTAAGTCTCATAGTCGCCAGGGTTTATACAACAGGCACTAAGTCCTATAGTCGCCAGGATTTATACAACAGGCTACATCTGGTGAACACGCAGTTCAAAACATCTGGTGAACACTTAGTTCAAAACATATGGTGAACACTTAGTTCAAAACATATCGTGAACAGTCAGTTAAAAAATACCTAGTGAATACATAGTTCAAAAACACCTACAAGTTACGAGCCTGCTAGTGTTCCACTGGACTGTCTAGAATAGTCTGTGGTCGTCATCTATACTCCGCCAGATGGCTAGATCATCTTAAACATTGAGGCCTCTCATAATTTTATCACACATCAACTATTTCATCTACCCATGTTTTACCCAACATTTTCGTAGATATAAAATACATATATAGTTTAAATAATTTAAAACATGTATAAATCGTTCATCCCTCATAGATATCAAGAACACAGATAATATGCACACATAGCACATAATTTATATTAAATACTTCATATCTATGTGTAAGATGAAAGTAACTATGCACTCACAACACGTAATTTATATAAAATACTTCATATCTATGTGTAAGGTGAAAGTAACTATGCACTCACTTGTTAAAGTGACGACTCGAAATTCGAGTAGCGCTTCGCTTCTTAACAATATGATTTCCTTCGACGAAACCTATTATTATTACAAATAGATTTTAGTCTAATATTTACTGCGACTAGTTATTAGTCTAGATTCATCATTAACTCAAAGTCTACTTTCATGATCTATCAAGTAAGGATCAGCCAGGCAGGATAGTTGGGAGGCAGGACCATTTCGGCATATAGCTTTTGTGAAATCCAATAACCAAACCCAACGTGACCATTCTAGACACCTTTCCCGTAAATAGTTCAATCAGTATAATGACTTTGAATCACTGATAAATTCTATTTATAGGTTCATAATAATGATATTATATTTAAATATAAGCTATATTTAAAGTATGGTAGGCGTATCTCACTTACAGTGGGTTTTCATTAAAAACCGGGCTTCGCTGGAGCAGCGCTTCTGAGCCGAAAAGCTCTTTTTCTCGGAGCCTTCGTGCGCTCCAGGGCTTTCTTCTAGCGCTAGGGAAGTTTTCTAGGCTTTAGGGGGATTTAGGGAGTCTAGAGAGAAGTTTGAGAGAGAAAGAAAGGCTTATAGTGTGAAGAAAATATGAAGAGTTCATCTCTTATTTATAGGGGTTTTCTCGTAGAGTAGGCCCTAAGTTTCGTTCGTATCTTCCGCGTACGAGCTCCATTTTCTACGTTCTTTATATCCACGCGTTGGTATTTACGAGTACTACAACTTTCATTTAGACCTCATCGGCTAATTCTCATTTTATCTCCGATTTGCAAAACTGTATCGAATTTATTACACTCGAAGAGTAGGGACTAAGTTTCGTCCATATCTTTCATATACGAGCTCTATTATCGACGTTCTTTATATCCACACATTGGTATTTACGAGCACTACAACTTTCATTTAGATCCCATCGGCTAGTTCTCACTCTATCTCAGATTTACAAAACTGTATCGAATTCGCCACGCTCGAAGAGTAGGGACTAAGTTTCATCCATATCTTTCGCATACAAGCTCCGTTTTCGACTGTCTTTTTATCGTTGAGCTTCTATTAACGAGATCTTCAATTATCGTTTAGACTATTTTGGTTAAAAATAGACCGATCTAAAATTCGAATTTCAGGTTGTGCACTGTTGTGCTAAATTTTAGAAAAATCATAACTTCCTCATACGAAGTCAGATTTGGACGTTCTTTTTATGCACACTCTCGGTTTAACATATACTACGACATTCGTTTAGATCATTAAGGCTAGAAAGTATTTTATCGTAAATTCACTTTTTACGATTCCTGGTGTCGTGACGGTTTTGCCGTAAAACTTCGACGAGTCATAACTTCTTCGTTATAACTCGGATTTCGGCGTTCTTTATATGTACGGAACCCTTGTGAAATATACTATAACTTGGTTAAGATTACTCCTTATAAATAATATTCCATCGAAAAGTCATTTTTGACGCTCATGATCTCTAAATTGACTAGCTCGAATCTGCGGGCGTTACAATTATCTCCCCCTTAGGATGATTACGTCCCGGAATCATCAACAAAACAGGGCTTGTATAATGACCTCCATACGTTATATCTTCATCCTAGGTAATAATCGTAACTTTTATATTCCTTCGAATCAGTATCTATCTCTTAGACTTATTCACTACAAGCAATAGTCGATCGTGCACCCACTCTTTATCTCACGTTAGTCTTCCAATCATGACCTTCGAATCACAATCTTGATTCCTTATTGGATACTCCTTCTTCTTAAAAAAACTTAATATAAGTTCTTTGATTACGACCATGGACCAATAGGTCATGTTCTAATGACCTCTCATTGTATGATGCGACGTTTAGACTCATGTCTTTTAGAGTCAAATTCCAGAACAAACTAGACCTTCCTTCATGTTCCAGTGTGATATAATCACATTCTAGCATATAGCACTTCTAGCTACAATCTTCTTACTTTAACAACAATCGCGGTACTTCTACTGATCGCTTCGTTTATCCTTTATTTCAATCTTTTGTCTTAAGTCAGACG